ATATATATATATATATATATATATATGCTCACATCTGTAGCTTTTGTAACAAACGTAGATGGAACCCTTTCCAAATCTTCGTTCATAGAGCTTACCCACGAAATAACGGAAGTTTGATGTTATGTTCAATTTTTAATTTTTGTTAGTACTTTTACGGATTATCAGCAGAATTGCAGTGATGGAGGGGCGTAGGAAAGCTTTATACAGTTATTCATGGCAACAATCACCGATAAACAAGCATCGACGAGTAAATCCACCCGAAGAAGGTAATTACTTTTGTTTGAAATAGACAGTGAAGATTCAAAAAACAGCTAAAACTAGGTTTAAAAAAATGGTCGACCACATAAATAGAAATTAAAAGTAACTCGCTTGATCTAAGTTGTTGACGGAGCAGTATCGTGATTAGATACCTACCATACCTGTTCGCTCTTGATGCAGTAACGATTTACGTATTATCATCTTTTCACTAGTATTAATTAGAATATAAATGTTATTAACAGCTCTTGATGAGTTTTTCGTCTAATGAATATATTTCAACGAAGAAAAGGAATTGTAGGAGTATTGTCTCTCTGTAGGAATTTGCTTCAACTCTGTTTTCACTTACAGAGAAGAAGATTTTCGACGATTGGTTTGAAGAAAAGGCTGACGAATACTTCCCGTGGATCAGAGATCAAGGTTTTGATGATGAAACTATTCGTGCTAATGCATCTGTAAGTTTTATTTAGTATGTTTGCTTTTTCCTTCCCTATCTATTTCATAATTTTTAAGATGTATTACTTTAAATCATTGTGTATGGGATAGTTTTTAAGGACATAATAGGGAAGATACTAACTTCGTAAAGTAAGTGTAATGCAAGGACAAGCTAATGGTTGGTTGATGAAATGGTAGTAAATAAGAATTCGTAATAGACACTGGAGATTTTTTGAAAGACGTCTTTCGTATCTTTCATAGTGTAAGATATTATCTGGTGGTGCAAATACTTTGATGGACTAGCAAACTAGCAGTGAACTCATCGTTCTGATGCAGTAGCATAACTAGTAAAATAATGTTGGTATCGAGATATATGTAAAGTTAGTGGATATAAATAGATTTTAATATTTTCTAATATTTCTAACAAATAGAAATTCGTAAAATAGTTCGAAGTTGTTTGTACTATGTCATGTTGCCTTTAACTTCGTTTAATTATTTGAAAAATGATTTGGCTGACGAAGCATGCATCCAGCACGCATCCTTTTAAAAAAAATTCATCCTTTGAAACCTTGATATCATCTTTTGTTCTGTAGTGCACATTATCTTCACCACCGTGCAATCCAGAAATGTGCAGAGCTCCTGTACCTGTTTCTTCGAGGATCCTGGAACAATTGCAAAGGCCGAAACAGCACCAAAAGATACTAAAAGAAGAAACGTGTCAGGACACGGGACGTTTAGCAAACATAATTCGTTACGAAAGATCTCTGAAAGAAACTAGAAAAGCAATCGGTAATACATTTTACTAAGTCCTTTTGCGTTCTTTTAAATATGAGTTTTATACTCTGTACGACAGCTTTATTAATTATTCAATTATTCTGATTGTGCGATTAGGTTTAGCTCATCGTCGTTATAAGTGAAGTCTCGAATATAGACTTTAAAATTTGGAGTATCATCAACAGTCACCAACTCTTAATGATTAAGGGATGCATTTGTAAGTGCCGAGCCTCGTCAAACGTTTTAAATATCATGGGTATATTCCAGGATACTGGACTTTTTATATCCCTTAAATTTGGATGGTGCATTAAGAACCAACAAGATTAGATATAAAATTTCAATTTAATTCTAATTTTTGAATTTTTTTTAAGTTCAATGTAGCGTAATTCTAATTAGGAGTAATCGGAATTCATTTGTCCTAAAGTCTATTATATTTATTCATATATACTGATATGAGCTCTATGCTGTATTGAATCTAGAGTCCATCTTATTTTTCGAGTTTTCATGGACCTATTACATTATGAACATCATTTACAAATTAATTACCGAAATTGGTCATTGATACGGGTAATTTTGGAATTACTTTCAGACAAGATCAAAAAAGAAAAGCAAAGAAAACTATTGTTTCCCCAAACACAGAAACAAAGGCTTTCTTGTTCTGTACTACTTCCAGAACATTCAGTCTTGAGTGAACTTTCATCATTTCAGAAAAAGCTTTACAAAGTAAGTTGTGCTTTCTGTGGTATTATGCCCTTTATCTAACCCTTATTAGATGTGAAGATTTGTCGCAATTATAAATTACATGCACCACTACTAATTTTGAGCCATCTCTCTAAATGCATGTTATTATTTCAGTAGTGTGGGATCTTCCCTGGTCTTCATGCATTCCTGATGGTCCTACGGATGTTCAGTATTTGGAGAAAGCACTATATGATTAAAAATAACTACACCCTTCGGTTACAGTAGAAAATATGATATGATAAAATATGAAGGTTCGAGAACTGAGGAGTGTTAATCACAAAGAAATAGTACTGTTGAAAATGAAGGCCATTAAGCTCGACAATCGTTGTAATGGAATAAAAGTTGTTCTAAAATTAGAGGAAGAACAATACATCTTTCAGGAAAAGGTGATTACAAGGATGGAGAGTAGGGTATCTGGTAGCAGACAGCTGGAAGACAAGTTGAAATCTGGTTCGATCTTATTGAGGAGGAGAATAAGCTGGTACGTCCAATGAAAGAATCATTTAGGTTGTGTTTGTGCCGGTTTGTAAATAGTTCAAGGTTCCGATGAGCTGTGAATGAATATTTCACCGAAAACTAACCTATCAACAAAAAAAGTGTTAAATCCACGATTAAATGATAGAACTTGTCTGGGAAGGCTAGATAGACGGAAAAAGTGAACGTGGCAAGTTTTTTCAGTAACTTTCTATTTTGTTTGCGAATTGCTAGCACCTTCTGATAATGCCAGGAAAGGCCGTATTTGGTTCTTTGAAAGGGCTTGTAGTTTTTGTACTCGGAACGTTAAATTGTTTCTTCTAAGTGATTCGGAAATAATCATATGATGAAAGAAACGAAAATTTTTTGCAGCAGTTGTATTGAAGAAGATGCAGAACAAACTACATCATCAAAGTCAAAACAACAAACATCAGGAAATCACAACAATGATGATAGCGACAATGAGCTCCTTAGATTGGCACTGGAAAGGTTGGCAGCATTCAATTTAGTTCATTTAAAACAGTATGATTTTGCCATGTTTTCGTTGAAAATTAAGGTTTTAAATATAAACGGAACATATGGTTAGATCTATTTTCATATGAGAACATTTTGTATGTTATTATGTTTTAGTTTTTAGCCTTTACCTAAGAAGTTTTATTTCATTTTTTCCTATTTTGCTGCAAAACTTTAGCAATTCTATCCTCTGTCTGAGTATTAGGGAGCGAAATCAACTGAACTGTTTTAGTAGCCCGATCCAGAAGTCGGATTCAGCGCTTAGGGCTGCTTCAAGCGAGAATGAATTAAGTGATGAAGCTCTGCTTGCAATGATGATATCATCGCCTGTGCCAAGTCGGAATCTCAAAAACATGTAATTAACTGATTCATGTCAGATGTTGGATCGATTTAAAGGAGAGGGCCCGCTGTTCACAACTATGAAGTGCTTACAAGGGTGATTTTTCCAACTATATTTCTTTTATATGAACAGTTGTACAAATAGTTTATACATAACTTCATTTTTAATTTCTTCGGAATTCTTAATTTTTTATTTATAGTGTTTGTATTTTAAGAGTAAACTTAAAAAGTCTTTTGAGGCCTATTGATAACATAATTTCATATAATTTTGTATAAAACTAAGTAAATGTTGGGGGAAGATAAATTAGGTATATTAGGAATTAGATATATGTTTAAGATATATGAGATATTGTAGAATAACGTACGATCTATTCCTTCGAGACTACGGCAGTTTTCTTTAGTCCACAAGTCACTTGATTTGGCCTTATCCCTACAGTCTGTTATTATTTCCATTCTTCTGAACTATTTTGGCGACGGTTTAGTTTTTGAGATTAGAGATACTATCAGCATGCAGTTCTTTTTTGCGATTGATGGTTTGCCCGTTGACTTGCACCGCTTTTTCCGCTGCTCGTCTGTCCTGTCTTTCCTGTCCCATTTTTGTTAGAGTTCAGAGGGAATGAGGAAATAATTAACGCAATGGCATAGCAGATGGAAGGACTACATTATTTACGCTTTATTTTTTATTTATCCAAGTAAAAGTTTATCTGGTCATCCCTTCTGCCTGAGAGGTGAAAATCGTATCTTCGTTTTCCCTCCTTTTTTTCATTTCTTTCCTCCTCTATCTGACTATTTGTTTTTCATATAGCATTAGTGGGAGGTAGTCGGAAAGTAACTTGTTGCTTATTATACGTTATACGTTATTCTTTGTTAACTTTGTGTTTCTTCGATATCACTGAGCTCTGAGAAATCCTTAATAGTATTACAACTCTTCTTAGTTATAAGATTCGATAACATGCTGACGACATTTATCTCCCGATTTCGAGCCATCATTTAGCCTTCAGTAAAAAAATTGCCGAATTAGTAATACTGTTCCAGTTACTGTTACGATTTTGCATAGGACTAAATTTTGCAAGATGAGAGTATTGTTAAGCAATGTGATATAGCAGTGTTGGGATTCACTGATGATGTTTCTGTTTGAAATTAAATCTGAATTAGGTGTATTCCGCTTCTTTCTTTTTTCGAAAATAGAAACGGAATGCATCTGCCTTAGATTTCTATTTCGGACGCACTCACATATATATTCTCTTTTCTTTCATTTCTCATCCTGATCTTCATTTCCTCATATCCTCCGACGAGATATGAACAATATGGCGCAGTTTGCTAATTAACTGATTAGTCACTTCCCACTATTTGATGACAGTCAACTTTTTCCCGCTATTTATGTATCTCTTCATTAATCTCTTTTTGTATATTTCTTTATGTATTTTTTCCTCTTCATATTTTCATAAAAATTTAAAAAATTATCTCTTCATTAATCTCTTTTTGTATCTCTTTATGTATTTTTTCCTCTTCATATTTTCATAAAAATTTAAAAAATTCTTTATTAGCAGTAGTGTTCGATAATCATGGACTTAAATTGTAATATAAGACAATATGTTTCTTTCTAGCCTAGATCGCTATAAAATCGCAGTTCATAGTTACATCACTTGTCTTACTGACCTTCTAGGAAAAAAGATGGATGTAGCTAGTTCACATCTCAATCCATTTCATTTTCCTCTCTTGCGTATAATTACATCAGTATTAAATACCTGAGCACTTTACTAGTAAGTTAATATCGATATATATAATTTGTTGTTATGCATGATGTTTGAGTAGTAAATTTTCACTTATGGTTGTCGTGTTCACCTTGAAGTATAGATTCTTATGGATGTCCATTCCAAATCATCTAGTTGCACTTTTGATCCTTTTGAATGCAACTTCCCGGCACAGCCCGCGCGATTTATAATCATTTAGGTCACACCGTAGTACCAATTCTATTTATCTTCTCTGATTCTACTGTTCTTACGCATTCTTTTGCACTTACAACATCATTGTTTACCGCGTCATGTTGTACAGCTTTGCGCGCGCGGGTCAAAGGGCAGCCATAGACAAGGAGAGGTATTTGTGAGTGCTTCCCTGGAAACAATTACATCTGAAGCAAAATCGATTACAAGCTGAAATAGCAAATAAATACAACTTTCTCATTTACTTTCTCTCCTTCCTCCAAATTGCAATAAAATAATATGTATGGTTTTTACGCGTGCAGTCCGCATAAATATATTGGATACTTGACAAAAAAAAAGGAAATGATATTACCTTAGTCCCGTCGATGTTTGTAGATCTGGTCTTTAATCTCTCGTGAACTCCATTACAGATCTCACGCTGTTTAATCTATTCAGCATTGACAAGTGGGGATGAGTCGAGTATGGAATTTAGCGAGTCAACCTGGTGGCAGAACTCAGAACTTGACCGGAAATCAACAAGTCACAGGTCAAGCGATTGGTCAATATATGTAAGTAAAGCTATCAAGTTAATGAATTTTTCCATTTGTTACTATGCATAACCGGCTCTCAGAATCTTTTCAAATTTGTGGAATCTCTATCCACCCAAGTCCGATTAAAAAAAGATGTCAAATAGGGCAAAAATGTCTCATTATATCATTTGGTTTAACAGATACCACCTCCCAAATTACGATCGAAAAATTAGCAAACTTTCCAGCGTTATCTCTTGAACCGTTTATAGCACCCTACATTTTCAGGTACGACAATGACGACAGCGGTGTCAGTATTGGGATGAATATATCAGCAAATTATTTACCTCGTATGGATCCATCAAGTTATAATCCAGCTGCTGATGTTGTGACACGTCGCCTACAGCATTTCCAGTATATTTTTCATCCTTTTTTAAGACGAGGAATATTTAGAAATTTCTGCTTTTTGCTTTAAAAATTTTCATATTTTGAATGTTCTGCCTCGGCAACTTGATCTGTGTTACTACTGAGCACCTTCAAATCCAATACGATCGGTGATTTCAGTTTTGACGAAGCTGATAACTCAAGAAATATTGACTGGTATGCCGAAGGTGAGAACAAGGAAAATATATGTCCACTTTTAGGACAAAATCAAACTGACAGGGCGACTAATTTTACTTTGCACGACGTTTTATCACCGGATTTGCCTCCCGTTAATATGTAAGGAAAAATAGTATCATTCTTTCCAGTTATTTATGAATTTTCAGTTTTTCCTTCTAATATCTTTTCAAGTTCTGGCATAACTGTCATTTCGGAGTAGCGTTTTTGTAGAAATCTTGTGTACAAGAAGCATTGAGATATCTTAATGGCAGATGGTCGATTGCGACTTTCTGGCAAGTTTGAAAATGTATCAAATAAGAGTTAGGTTTGGAATAATTTTTTCATGAATGGGATTGAAGTACTTATGTGAATAAAATTTATTTCTTTCAGGAGAAACATTCTACGAATTTTTTCACAATCGAGACGACGTGGGAATCATAACGGACAAGAAAGAGAAACTTCTACTTTTCCATTTTTGGTAGAGCATAGATCGCCCAACTCTTCACGAGTTACATCTGATTCTGTTTTGTCGCTTTCATCGATTCGTTCATCTGGTTTTTCTCCGTTATTAGGTTCTCATCCCATTCATGCAACACCCAGACACTCACCAGTTCGGCGCCGAGCAAGGACAGTAACGGAGGAAGTGCAAATCGGTCAGCTCATTTTTTAAATGAGCCTTGGATTCTCTTTGTTCGAATATCAGTTGTGATTACTCCTGGTTTTCTTCCTCTATTTCATTGATTCGAAACATGGTAATATCGAGTAACCTATTTTCAGTATCTTTAGAGGATTTACCAGAAATAAATCCTTTTGGACCGAATGGTACCCCACCACGAACACCCTCTCCTGAGTCATTTACTGCAATCCATGACGCTTCCGGAAGTCGAAATTCGAGGGGAATTCTTACCAAGTCTGTTATTTCTGTTCATGATAAAATTACGATTAATAAGTTATAAATTTAGCCCACATCAGTATTTTTCCAGATGTTATCAATTCTGCAAATTTTCTTTAGCAGTGCTCATTTTGACTTCAGCTCTCTCTCTCTCTAATTAAATAGCTTACTAGTCATTAGTCGGGCAGTTTTTCTGAAAGTATAAGTGCAGCCAAAAGTTGTGACTTATTTGTTTCACGAAAAGAGTGCAATAAGAAAAAATGAAATTTGATTTTTAGCGAGCAGAGAGAAGATGAACATGCTGTCATCATTGGTGCAGATACAGCAGCAAGCACAAGTTTTGTCACTCCACCCTCTAGACCTCTGCAGCCACCTGTGGCTCCCAGAAAAAGAAAGTCGACAGGAAATCTTTGAAAACCATTGACAGTCCTTCATTTTTTCCAAGAACTACCGCACACTTAGGATTCAGGAAATCACATTCTGTGAGGCTTGTGTTACCCGGAAAACACAGGTTGTTTCCTCCTTCTACTGATGCCAGTGTTTCATCTATGGTACTTCGATCGGCACTGAAGCCACGTCGTTCAACACGTGTAAAAAGTAAGCATCGTATCACCACAATCTGTTTGTCATGAGATTTTGTGTTTTCTCTATTCTTGTGTTCATCTTAGTGAGCGCTATAATATTGTAAACGGATTTCAGGAATGCCGAATCGCTACAAGTGTAATTTCTATCATCGCGCTGACTTACATAAGAAGAAAGGACACAATCTTTTGAAGCATTTTGCAAGGAAAACATGAACAAGAAGTAATGTCAAGATGCTACTTTGCAAGCGTTCCAGCATTCGTGGAAGAGAAGGGATGAATGCTTTTGATCATGAAAATCTGGAAATTAATGGAGGATTTGTTGGATTTGTTGCACTACATTGTTTTTTTCTATTCCTAAATTTAATAGATCTTGTTCCGTCAGATCTGTGTGATTTTCTTCGGATAATATTGCTTTATGTACATTAATCTTCAGCTTATCATTTCAATATTTTAACTAATGAAACACTTCCGTGTTGTATGATTAGGAAAGATTCTACTATGCATCGTATAGCAAGAAAAATTTGCTCTATCGGGGCACATCAATTATTTGTTCTTTCTTCCGCTTTTGTCATCACGTGATGTTAATTTTCGATATGAAATCCACGAATAAAATTTCATTACAAGCAATTGAAAATTTCCTATTTATTTGGCCAAATATATCGATGCACACATATTTATACATATTTTTCCAAACTGACATAAACAGAAGTTCGGGCAAGTGTAAGGCCAATATTAAACTATTGGATTTGTGAAGTACAGAGGATTCGAACAGCAGTGGAGTATCAGAAGAAACTAAAGGAAATTATGAAAACTAATTAAGGAACTAATCAAGATTGGCAGTATTCCTAGTTGTTAAGGTAGAACATAGGACTAATGTTATGAATCAGGGTGTGTAGTCCAAGTACCGTTGGATTTTTTGAAAACACTTTATGGTGAAACTCATATATAGTCAAATAAAATCCAAGAACGATCAGGATATGATTACAACGAATATTTTCTCTTAAAACTTGGAACTTGGCGGTGTATGTCGTTTTTATTCTTGGGCTTTCCTAGTATTAAATTTCAAATCCAAATATCAAAATTTCAAATCTGTCATCTCAATCGAAATTATTTGTAGATATCGTAGGACTTTGTAGAGCTATGCCTGACTGTCTTTTGGGTCTCTTCATTTTCCCTTTTTTAAAGAACCAAAATAGTCCTTTTCAGGTTGAGTATTGCTTAAAAACGGAACTTTGTGATCATGATTCTCTGATTCTCCCAAAGAAACACTAGAAACTTGATGAATTCACTGGTATCTGGACCCTATTTTCCGTTCGAATTTTTGCATGCTGAAATAATAAGATACGAGAAACAAAGAGAGGTAAGTTTTCAAGTCCACTTATATACTCTTACACCTTGGGAATTCTTCCGCAATAATAATTTTCGAAATGGAATTAATAGATTTTATATGAAATCCAGAGATAAACAACCTCAAAGTGAACTAATGTTCTCAAAAGTTAATAAAAAGGCGTCATCAGATAATAGACTTTTGGCAAACAGAAGCAACAGCCAGGCATCCTTGGGATCCTTTGATGTTCTCAAGTACGAAATTTAACCTGTGGTTTGCATTACTGATATCATTTATTGTGCATTATAGAAAGAGCAGATTGACAAACGAAAAAGCTGGATTGAACAAATGCGAAACAATCCGCAAATGGAAGTCTCGTTATTGGATGAACAATTGAAGTCGGTGAAACAAGTTTTCATTCAGGTGCTTACACAGCAGGGATGAAACACTTGCATGTTGTTCTGGAATTTTAATGAAACTTTTTTGCCATTGCTATATTTTTGCATATTGATTAAGTTTAGGTCTTGAATTACAGGGAAATGCTGAAACACGTCTGGAAGCTCTTGGCTACCGCGTCGGTTTCGTGCTAGTTGAAAAAATTGCCAAGGATTTGCCGAGGTTTATAATTCTTTGACGGATTACTTGAGATAGTAATATATCTACTGAATAGCTGGCTGCAGTTTTTTTCTATTTTTAGGTTAATCACTGAATTGGAGAGAATGAAGTTTCTTTGTAAAGAATTTTGGACTGCTGTATTTGGTAAACAGGTCGATAATTTACGTACTAATCACCAGGTTATGCTTCCATGACTTCCTTTCGGATGTGGACCTGTTTCTACAAATATTTAGGCTTGGATGTCGTTTGTTTCCGTGCAATATTGTTTCAGGGGATTTACGTAGTACAGGACAACAAATTTTTCATCTTAGCAGGTTTTGCGGAAGGGAAACAGTATGTGGAAGAATCTGCTATTTATTTAGCCTTTCCATGTGGTATCATAAGGTTTTTTTTTCTTGTGTTTATTCTGAAAATTACTTATTCTGATATTCTACTTAAAGAACTTATTTCGAGTTGTTTTCAGAGGTGCACTGTACAACCTCGGTATCACTTCGTTAGTTACATCTTCGGTGGAGAATGTCCCGGCTGTGAGATTTCATGTACATATGCAACAGAAAAGTTAACATTTAAAAAAGATAATTTATTGTTTTCATCATAGCATATCTTCCTTTGTGAAATTCTTTGTGAACTTACTGAAAAATCTACTTTTCGTAACAATGAAAGATGAAGTTTTTGTCCTCTATTTTTGAAGCGTTAGATATGTACTTCTCAGTAAACTAACCTCGTTTCTTGCTGATATCGATTTTTTCGCAAGAAGCATCAGTAAAATACAGGACTGAGAGCCAGGCGAGCAAAGTACTAACGCAAATAAAAAACATTCTTCAAAAAAAGAAACTACAAGAGGGCAACGAACAAGGATGATTAAAATGTGTTGATGGTTCATTATTTTCAATAAAAACGGCTTCAAAAGTACTGAAAAATCCTTACTGAAAAATCCTTACTGATTTTGGTCATACTTATGGTGCTTGACTTTACAGCCGAGCGTGCTGCCTACTTTTGACGGCGAATCCACCAAACAGGTATTGGAACTCAAGTAAGTAATCTTAGTTAAACAGGTCGCCATTAGTAATTTAGCTAATTTAGTACCCTAAAAAAAGGTCAGCAAAAATTTGGGATTGTAACTGCAGACGAAACTTGTACAGCTAGTCGAGCAGAATGAATTTCTGTGTTCTTCAAAGTGCTGCATGGAGTATTAGAATAGCGAGCAAATAAATGCTGGTTGGCAGATAGGGATAAAATAGCATTCAAAATAAAAGTTTTTCAAATTGAAAGTAACTTCGCTTGTTTATTGTATCTACTAGTGCTTCCTGTTATGTTCCGTCCCATCAGTGGGAAGATTACACAGGACGGTGTTGCAGTTTCCCTTGAATCAATCAGTATTATTAGCAGATGATTTGTACTAACAATACGGAAAAGTAGACCGCATCGATCAAGAAATAGCTAAAGAGATTGTTCATATCATTGGCTGTCTATCCATCAAATAATAACTTTGTTGAGTGTTTCATCAGATAAACCGTTGTGTTTGACATGCTCAGCAATATCTGTTATATGGCAAAAGGCTATCTGTTAATATAACGAAGCTTCTCTTAGGCTTTCATTCAGGCATTCTTCGATAATTATTTGGCTGATTTAAAGAGGTAACAGATAATATGAAGAGCATGATTCATGTGAAGAAGACTTTTCACTCTAAAAATAGCTAATATTTGTTGAACAATTTCTCTGTACTTTTTTCCTGTATTACGTAAATCCCCTCAAACAAACAAACGAGCCTAGATATTTCCAAGTTAAGCTGAACTAGACTTAATCAAGAAGTTAGTGGAAGCCAATTGGTATAGAATTCACTAGCAGTCAAGGTTTAATTTTAAACTTCCGTTATCTCCAGATGCAGCTTATGACATTTGGCCAATGAGGAAAATTTGTTTGTTCGGAAATTTCGGTCTGTGGAAATATCATGGTTGACAATAGAAAGGTATTTGAGGACAATCTTATGTGCTTTTCAGCAATCACATGTACTTGGGACATTGATTAGAGCTTTGTAATAATCTCATGTAACCTCTGACCTCTTCATTAAAATTACAATTCCACGCCATGACTATTCCTTTTTCACGAGACATTCCTATATTCTTAAACATTTGCATGTCATAATACCAAATTATTTGTCTGTACTAATCATGTGGTCTTAGATTTCGAAAGCAAACTTCTGAAGTCTATATGATAAGCACATCTGAACGATTTTGGTACTGCAATACTTAATATCGTTATTGCAAAACTTGCTTTCTCTCATATCCAGTCTGTGTCATATTCATCATAGTTAAAATGGTACTAACACCACGTTTAATATCATCATGTATATTTTGTATTGCTGTTAAATTTGTTTACACCATGAAAATTAAGTGGCGCTGATAAGGATTAGTAAGACTGGTTTCAAAACCGGTTGCTATGTAATGATTCCTATTAGTTGAAGAAATGACTGCGGATAAATGAAAATCCAAAATGGTATATGTAAAGATAATTATTAATAATGGATGATATTACCGTTTATGAACAGTACTACAAAAGATGGTGATGATTATGATGATATTTATACTAGCATCTAATTAATATATTCTATCATGTGATGGTAATTATTTTGCGTTTATCGCGTCTCAGGAATGGGATGGATAACAAAGGAGTGGTCTATCCACCTTTTCGGAAAATTGAAATGCATGTAATTACGAAGTTTCCACTTTAATCAACCATGCTTAAAGTTCATAAAGCATATCGTTCTTCAGTTTCCATTGTTGAAAAAAATTTCAATTTAATTTTGTTCTTCTGACTCTGTGCATCTTGCTTTCTGCAATCATAACCCTTATTGCCGGAAGAAAAGTCTTACAATCGGTGTCATTATACTTCCATTTTGAGATGATATGAAGTTTATCTGGAGACGGAATAAAACAAACTTTAAATTAAAAAAATTCACTGTTTACCTCATTTCATACACATCTGCGTATCGTAAAATCCTCTCTGTGATATGAAATTCATAATCAAGAAGCTTTAATTGCATTCTATAACCTTTTATGCTTCCCGAAGAATGACAATTTCCATTCCTTATTACTTTTTGTGGAATCTCATTTATAATAAGTAGTGGCAAGATATACGCTCCAGTTTTTAATTGTAAAGAAGGTTGTAACCTTAGATTTTCGAGAACGAATAGCTTGCTAAAATGACTACAACCAGCAATAAATTCGATGAGGGTATTCTAGTTAGCAGTAAATTCAGTAACAAGTGGAGATAGATATAGGTAGTAAACTCATTGACTGATGGTTATGAATCCGGAATTAACTATGTTATTATACAACCAGTGAAAAATGAATTATTGGAGTGTAATATACTTTTATTATTTTATTGAATATATGGTGCATTTTATTACACTGCTTTAATGGCCAAGAAAAACATACGGCACCGAACATGAAAAATCCCACTATCAGTGACACATCCCAACTTTACAATCCTTTACGTAAAATCCTAGTTTGTTGTCCATGTTGTTGTTTTAACGCATTTATGCACAAAATATTCTTGTCAGGGGGAGATATGAAAGACTTCCCAGTTGCTCATTCATTAAGTCCACAGTTCGAATACCCGAGGTGACAAAACATTAATCTTCTCCTCTTCCTCTTCTGTTTCGCTGTACATTACAGCACATCAGAAACATCACTTCTATCATTCAAAAAGTAAAATAGAAATAAAGTGATTGTATTGGAATCTTACACAAAAAAAACAGAAAATGAGAAAATAGAAGTGATCCTAAAAAAATAGAAAAATGTCAGCGCGGAGATGAAAGGATCCACAAGGATTTGGCGTAAACATTTCAGTCAGAAAAAAATTCATCCAGAGTACAGAGAAGGAAGATTGATCATTTTAGCAACCTGAAGAAAACTCTCGGTTGTCGTCGGAAACTCTTAACCACCTCAGGAAATGGGTATCATGCAATGATTAATAAGATGTTTATGCTAGACCGGCACTAATACTTTTCTGTGTCGCTTTCTTTGCTTCAAATGAGGCAAATACCCCCCGTACACTTTCTAGAGGCCAAGACCAAATATTGGTATCCCAAAATCCCCTGGCATCAGATTTGCAACATGATGATGGTTTCGTTTACATCTCCCATCATCGCATCTGTTCATGTTCTTAATATCACTACTGTCACTATGACTATCGGCATAACCATTGCTACTCCAACTGCTCGTACTTCTTGCATTACCATCACCATTAAAGTCACTGTTGTTAATCTGATCACTCTTCGATTCAGGCTTTTCATGGCTTGATGGCTTCCTCGATTTGTAGTCACTGCTGTATGCTGAAAATTGGAAATTATTAAAATAGATTAAAATAGAGCACGAAAAGTTTTACAGTCTATCTGTGTTCGTGCCAAACTGGCTTAATAGTAATAGAAGTATCCATGAGAGTGTTATCGATTGAGAGGACAGACAACATTCTTAATCAATTTCCACCTGTCATTTCTAGAAGTACAAGGAAAAGAACAGCAGGCCCACATTTTTACTTTTGTCGTTTTCTCTATGGTTCATTTGATTTAAAAAACAAAAAAAGTGACTAAACAACCTCTAATACTTCTGAATTTTTGCATTTTGCAGTTCATTTCAATCCAATGTCTTGTTTAAATGATTCCATAAAAGTGTGTAACGCAAACAGTAAAAGTTTAAAAGATTGTACCTCTTCCGCTAATTCCCATGTTGCCACAACCGTATTCGCCTCCTCTTCTACCGCCTTTACATGCATTAGAACCAAAACTGCTGATACCATCGCATCCACCCTTACTATCAAAACTATCTCCACTGCAGCTTACACTACCAAAACCATGTCTGCTGTAGCCTCCAACAGCACCACCATTGCAACGATGCTCACCGCACCCTCCACCACTGCAACCTCTACGGCAACCACTACTCCCACCGCAACCACCACCTCTACCGCAACCACAACCTCCATTCCAACCACATCTACTACCAAGACCTGTGCCACCGCAACCGCAGCAACAACACTGCTTACAACAACATCTGAAACTGAAACTGGAAGTAGCGTCATTAAAAATTTTTTTGAATGTTTTAAAATCGAAAGAAAATTGGGAGCGAAATTTGCAAATTTAGGAGTTCTGCAGCTGAAAGTTTGAACCGAGCTCAAAACTGAACTTACACCTAATTTCCAAAGAGAATGTGTGAAATGATCAAACCTGCTGAAGAGGTTTAAAAATAATCCCTGTACTTCATTCATGACAATTAAAAGCATGATAATCAGGTGGATTCTACTCATGATTCAATACAGCCTGAAAATTGACTCAGATTGACCTCACTTCTTCATCTTATTTGCTTGACCGCAATCTGTACCACTGAGTGGATGTACACGAGTAAGGAGTCCTATTCAATAACTTTCTAAAACAATCAGATATCCATACAGCGGAGATCAGATATGACAGAACCAAAATTTCAGATGAAGCCGAATGCTAATGAATGATCTGTGACAACGTACCTTAAAGTGGGATTATGTGTAAAGGGTAATTGGATTAATGGTTTGCTAGCTTGATAATGCTCTGCATTCATTGTCCATGAACAAGTATTTCAGAGGATACAATCTTCTCGTTGCAATATCTGGTTGTCACCTGTTCCTTCTACTTTGCTTGATTTTTTTCTCAATCATCAAAAACTACATGATATCATTACTAAAAGTTCAAAACAGAGAACAACTTATCTTACATTTTCTGTTGATATTCGAACAATGAATACTACCCAGAATGAGGCATGCAACGAATTATAATAATATTAACAGTGACGGTGACAGTGACGTCTCTTAAATTCTCAAAATAGAAGCCATGTGGCACTTTTCCAAATACTTAAACTTTATGTAATAATATGAGTACTTCTAAAATGACATAATAACAGTGACGTCTCTTCTCAATTGATCAGAAATGTACTGATATTCATCTTCTCGGCTATCATGAAGTTTTATTCTTTTACCCTTACACCTTCCCTTTTTTCTTCTTTGGTTGTATTATCACAAATAAGGAATTGAAGTCTAGAAGAAATGGCACGTATTAGTGGTAAAAGTAACATAAGAATGGCAGTCAAATGTAGAATTTCTTGAGATAGAAGTGTTCGGACGGAACTTTATCATCGTGGTGATTAAAGAATTGCAGAATGTTTTGCTAAAGAGTAAAGCATGAAGTGATAAGCGCTAATTTAAAGATGAGAGAAGAGTACTGTGAGGCGGTGGGGAATATTTTTCGAGTTGTTCCGGAAAGATATCCTTATTTTGGTGCTATAAAACTGTAGAATCAATCGATGAGTTATTTTAAATCCATACCATCCGAGTGTCTTCTTCATTTGCGAACCAACTAGGCATCAAATTAACTAGAATTATCCATTTTATTGAATTATTGAGAAGGCTGCGTACAATCAAATATCCCAATGCCATTGATTTTGTCTCCAATTAGTTACAGATTTACGATGCAAAATGTAAAAGTTAATTGCATTAAGAATTGAATTAGAAAAGTTTCATCACATACAGATTGATTTTACAGGAAAGATGCAGTAACACTGATAGAGCGTACGTTAACAGTAACATGGAATCAATTTTGCATATTAGTTAACATTTATTCCGGAATGCTGCTTCACCTCGGCTAATCTCTGATCCTTTCTGCCACTGCCCACCATAAACAAACAATTATCTTCGATGGAAAGTAAAATGTTCACTTCATTGAAGTTCCATTTCAATCAAGCTTTTCAAATATTCCGAATTTATTTGCAGTAATGACTGCCGTTGTTTTAGCTGCTATTACTATAAAGTGCAAAGAGGTTGTTTACCTGCAGGAAGATGAGCTGGTTGTAGAGGAGATAGTGGTGGCACAAGGAAACGCAGTGAATTTAGAAGATGAAACATTGAAAGTGGTCGTAGTTATGGTAGGAATGGCAAAGGGAAGAAATGACAATTAGAATATATAAGAGATTACAGAAGTAAACGAAGGAACATTTTAGGAAATCGAAACAATGAAGATCTTGAGTATTGATGAGTCAGGAAGTTTTTACCTTCATCTCCACTTTCAGCATCACTCTCTTACAAAGAAGACCTTTAATACTCCATTCATTCGCAGTACATACGGAATCTGATTACTGTACCTCATAACATCATAACCGATCAACAAAACAATGAAATCGAAGGTACCGCAGAGACTTTTCACAGAGAATACTACTTTTTGTCCACATCTATGACTTTCCAAAATTTCTTCAGGCCATTTTTCTATCCACTCTGCTTCTTTATTTACTCATATATTTTTGTTTTTCTCTTGCTTATCATTGTTCACTCCATTACTTTCTTTGTTAATTAATTTCTATCTCAGGTAACTAAAATAATCATTGTAACTGATATTATTAGAGCTTGTGAATAGTTCAAAAGATGGGAAATTTCTTCAGCATATTTTCTTACTGTTCATTCTCTGGCCTAAATGTTTCCGGAACACAGCTGATTGGGAAATTAATCTGTAGGAGGTTTAAAGAAGTTGAAAGCATCTAAGTCTTTGATAATGATATCTTTCAGGGATTTCCTTTCAAGCCAACTCACATTTCAATCCTTCCGAGCTTTAAAGTGAAATACGGTAGGAAAAATCGACTTCTGATGCGTTATATCCACAAAGAAGAATTGAAATTTAGGTTATCAATGAGATGTATATTTCCGCTCATCGAGAAATGACGCATTAACGTAAATCCACCATAATAAGTCCCAAAAATTCATTATTTTTAGAGTCGAAAACATTGAGATTGGGCCTGAGCTTTTTTCGAATACGTTTTCTCTTCCTTTTTTATTTGATACTTTTACAAATTAAATGATCTCTCTAGCAAACAGTAATTAAATCCTTTTCCGACTTCAACCGATTGAGTCCTAATCAAGCTATGATTTCAGCAAAAGGTTTTGCGTCAACATGAAATTTGATTCACTTTCATTATTTGATAGGGGAGCTATTATAACCACTTTTGATGGATTATTAATCCGTTTACAGTTATTAAGCATTCCAGCTTATTACAGTTTTAGAATACAAAAAAAGAATAATCCCTACCTGATTACAAATTGTTGCAACAAAGACGATATTGAAGATGTGCTCAAATAACTCAGAATTTTCCCCGTTATTAAACATCCCTTCAAAGTTCCAATTTCTTGGATTTACTTTATGTTTTATTTTATGCATTAAAAATATTGTAATATACATCTTCAATAAAACAATGTCATAACTGAAACGATTGTTGGACTTGAAGCAAAAATGTCTGCCCTGAAATTACTTTTAATATTTCAAAGGTTTCCACTCGTCATTTCCCATCCACTATTTTCTTCCGACTCCATAAATTTTTTGAGATGAAAAGCTTAAAAAATTAAAAAGACCTATGAATTATCTCACGGTGTTTTGTAATTGAAAACAAAAATTCACCTTTATCTCCATTTTTAACATTCAATCGCATAAAAAAGCAAAATATTATTTTGTGATGCTTTTTATTATGCCTGAGTAATTTCAAATTCCAATAGTTTTCAATTTTTGCAAAGTTCCAAAGTTAGGAGAAGATGAAATTGCGTTTTCAGAATTACTGGGAACAGTTGTTATTTTTTTTTTTGGAAAAAAAATAGATTTGTGGGTTTACAACCACTATCGAGAGATATACTAATATTGAGATTTGAAAAACGGGAGTAATTATAAAACAGAAAATACACTTCAAATAAACATGGATAACATCTAATATCAACACTGCAACTATTGGAAACAACTTCATCAAATTAATTGCAAAATGCAAACAGGTTACAATAAGTTGTTATATTGCTGTGAAAATTGATTATTACGATAAAGTATTAAAGTCCATTTCAGGTTTCAATTTTTTCCAAATTCAGATTTTGTAATTTTAAATTTGATACTGCTGGCTTCCATTTCGAGCACTGCAATCGCTTTGGATCACATATCCCAGGTTATTCACTTAGTGAGACAATAATTCATTCGTCCAGGTGACATCACTTTTTTCACTTAGTCGCAATGACAATTTCATGCACCCTAAGCACCTTAGAAACAGATTTGAACTGATTCAAATTTAAATGTTTTGATTTTAACTTTATGTACTAAATTGATAAGGCAATGTGTTCTTTTTCCCTGACCCTTTTTAAAATATCTTTAAAGACGTAGGAGTTGCAATCAACCTTTTGTGTCGCCATAAATTTTTTAATTCATTTCTATTAACCCTCGTAAAATGCATTCATCTCTTCATTGTTATTCCAAATGACAACTAATAAAATGCGTCTGAAATGAGGTCATTTATTATTTCTGGGTATTTTATCACTTTCTCACCACGTTTCATTTCCCCATATTTAAATCTCAAAATTTGATATTTTATTGAATTTAATCAACTGACTAATATAACTCCTTCATATCTTCAAGATGTGACGAAAACGTTTTGAGATATCAAAATGATGTGAGGAAATATCTGTTAGGTCTGCTGATTGCTGTATCCGATATTTCCTTATCTTTCTCATTTTATAAAGTTAATACACAGAACTTGTTGCTGTTGAAGAGGAGTGAAATCCGATTACCATGCCTAATTCTTCATTCTTGGAAAGCTACCCGTAGACGACCAGCTGAGCTTTTACACGTAATTCATCTTTATGTTCACGTGTGATTACGAATTTGTTATCACCGCTTGTTTAATTTGAGGTCCGAATGAGAAGATGGAAGTGGAATTGAAAAAACTTAGCTCATGTCCTAGGTCTTCCTTGTAATTCAACTCGAACTTTTGGAATATCAGATACGGACGCGAACACCATTCATCGTTTATCCAACTCACTATTTAATTCTGTCTACTCAGACTCAAGAATGTTAAGTTCAAAAATTTCGCAATCCGATGAAGTTTTACCGCAGTCAAAAGAATATCGAAATTGACTTTTTAAAACAATAAAACTCGAGGGTCATTATTGCAACACTTCATGAACTTAAAGGTCATTTTAAGCAAATTCTGACTGTATTCTTCCCTTTTGTAAAAAAAAGGAAAAGTGTGTGACTATTTTTCAACTGAGGTTTCTTTTTGGCTTCATTTTCGAAGAGTTGTTTAATGTCAAATGTCAAATCGTCAAATCCTCTCCTCTCAATTCGTTAAGGATGTGCGTTCAGCAGAAATTGTCTCATCTGTCAAGTTAATGAGATGAAATAGAATGGAATATAAGGAGTTACTTGAAAGAATATTTGACAAGGGAACACACTTTTATTAATTCTTAGTTGCTGTTAAGAAATTCCGATTTATTCAGTCACTGATTAGAGAGGATAGAAGAGAGGGAGAGAGAGAGGGAGGGAGGGGGAGAGCGAGAGAGAGGGGTTAGGAATAGATGTCGGAGGATTACTTTTTTTAGTAATTTGGAATGAATGCCGTGGAAATAAGAGAATGATGATATGATATTTGTAGAAATATCATATCTCTCTATTTCTTTTCAAATTCTTAGATAAATAATTCTGATTAATGATAATATTATCAGAAATCTATGAATTGAAGTGTTAGTTTATATATTAATGAAAGTGAAAGAGCATTATAACGCCCCAGATTCTACATATTGGTCATTATGGATTAGTTCCGGTAGAGGGACATAGTAAAATCAGTGAACGAAAGTTTTCTTTATCCCGTGGCAAAATCAGATGAAAAGATCCACTTTTCTATCGAGTACTGACAATATTAATTTTCCCTCGTACAGTATTAGCAGTAATTATCAGTGAATTCTGGGGTGGGACTTATTGAATCCTACTTATAGGCTACCTTTTTAAATGAGTAACCAGTTGATCAGAAATTCACATTATTCATTTGTCATTGACAACAAATGGCGCTATCCGATATGTTCGACATTCGGTACGTGGTCGTTCTGCTAGTTGTTGTGGTTGCGAACACTCAAGCAATATTTTTCGGCGGCTTGTACGTTTCCTGTTTCATTCTTTCAGTTTTAAACTTTTTTCAATTCTCTAAAATTCTTACTTTCCAAAAAAAAGAACATCACCGAGTAGTGTTTGCCATTCAACTGAAACAACTTTTCACTCATGATCCATGATCTGTCATCTTCATTAAACACTTATTTTGTCTAACATCTTTATTGTTTCAGATACTCGGAAGATAAGAAAGAACCTGTTTGAAGGGTAGTGATATAAAAGCATAGGTATAATCAGCCTGATATCAAAATCAACAGATTTATCAATTACAAAAAATCACATTACAGGGGCGGTAATTGCTGTTGCTGTGGTGGTTGTGGCAAATGAGAAATTTTAAACTAAACCTCACAAATATGGTACCATATCGATAGTGGCTTATGGCATTTTTGAAGATATTACAGTGATTCACCAAATAACCTGCCTGATTCTTTTCTCCTTCTTTATTCCCACCTATCCCATCCCCGCTTCTTGTTTTATTACTCATCAGTTTTTCTTTTTTCTTTTTTTTTTAAATTAAACCATGCATACCTTATATTTTTATAATATGAAATCTGAATAAATGCTTTTCATCTGTTTACTGAATTCTCATCAAATATGAAAAGAGAAAAGAAATCAGGAGAATGATGCTTCATGAGTTATTTCACGGCCTGAATCGAGAATCGCGGATTAATCAGAATTCGGGAAATATTACTCATCCCTTCATTAATTCCCTCTCTTTTGGTTGTTCCCTTGGCTTCATTCATATTCAAAAGTTTTAGAGTAAATGACTAATGCTCTATATGATCATTTGGCTGAAAGTTAATTTCTTCCGATTGCATAGCAAATCTCATAAAAGTAACTTTTTTCGTTTAATTTGAAGTAAAGGAAATGATTGCCATGATTTATATCGTCATAAATAAGGGGAACATCAAGGGAGTTGTCACTCTGCAATATTAGGCAGAAAGCTCTGACATAGAATGCATATTCGAGACAAATGCTCAAAAAATACAACTTTACTAAAAGTATAAATGGAAATTAAAAAAAAAAATGCAGAATTTCAAAAAGAGATCATTTGGTGAGAATTGACTCCTAAAGAGAATACAAACACGATTCAATGTAAATCGATCATTAAACATTTTCAACAAGTTGGGTCTTGAAGAGTTTCAAGACACTTCTAAAATAGGCATTTCACCTGGTTTGATTGAATAAAAAAGTTTTGCATTCCTTGTTCGGATAGGTCTTTTCAACCTAATCTTTTTTACCAAAATTCTATGCTCAATAGATGGATTAAACACAGTACTTTCTACTTGTATTGGTGTGGTCAGAACCTCAGGGAGAAGTTTATTTTTCTTTCGAAATGACTCTTCTCGAGATATATTGACAATATTGGTCCAAATATCGCGTTGCAACTCCAATACCAAGTTTTTACCCTGCGCATCGCCAATTTCAGGCTTTTGTATGTAATAAGCAAAACGATTAGTAAGCTTTTTCCGCTTTGGCTTTTTCCGCATGTATGAAAATTGTAAGCCATTTGTTGCGTTCTTTACAGTATTGTTCATCATTTTTTGTTGTGATTTTAAAGATCTATGAGCAGTTTGAGTCGACATATTCTTCTGCTTATTAGAAAATTTCAGTATAAAATTTCTTCTTTTGAGAAAGCCGTCCTTACGAGATTTCTTCATTGGTACCAAAGAATTCAATTGTTCATCGTTGTTTTGTAGTGTTTGCGCTCCCATTGATTTGTTTGATTTTAGCAAAAATTCTGTTCTTTCATTTTTGGGTCTTTTTTTGAACTTTAAGAAAGACAATACTGCTATATTAGATTGGCCTGTATTTTTCGACTCTTTCATCGCTGGATTTGTTGGAAGGGAGTTATGATTTGGCGACCGAAATATGAGTTTCTTGAATGGACCAATAATTTTGGAATGTCCGTGATGCTTCTCTGAATCTTCTCCTTTTTGGTTTCTTCTATTATTAGTAATAATATGCAGCTCAGATTTTGATTTCACAACGTTGGCATTTTGAAGATTACTGTTTGCAGCAAAGGGTTCAATATCGTCCTGAGTCTCATGCTTCACTGATGTTATCTTTTGAAAAGGTTTCGCTGGAATGGTATCCATGAAAGTGCTCAGGTGCTTTTTCAAGCTAGAATGCCGTGAAAACGCAATAGGAGTCCTGTGCTCATCCTCTACTTCATCGTAGTAGTTTTCCTTATCTTCTTGCTCCGGTTTTCCCAACTCTTTATATTCCATCGGCCAAGATGTTTCAGTTTTCATCCCAGAAAAATTATCTGAATACTCTGATAGTTCACCGCATGAATTACCGCAGGACTCAAACATTGGTGTAGCTGAAGTAATAGCTGTATTCTTGTCATTAAACTGATTGGTCGACAAATAATTTCTGCTATCATAGTAATCCCAGTCAAAGTCTAATGTGGTAGAAGAGACTGAGGTTGTTGCACTTCCACTAAAGGTGGTATCCCATTTATCAGTCCAATGTTTAAAACCAGGTCTTTGCAAAATGCTTTCCTGGAAAATCCTATCAATAGCAGATTGATTAATTGGTGCTGGCAATGTTTCCTTAATTATTAGCGGACGGTTAGCTTCTTCAGTACTTGTTACGAATAATTTTTCGCGATTGGAGTCAACTTTTCCATCATTTGGCAGCATTGCAATCAAATCGTCTTTTATATTGATTGTGGATTGGAAAACGCTACTTGGTGTTTGGAAATCATTGGATGGTATTTTGAAAAGTAGAAGATTTTGAAAATATGAATTCTCGTGCAGTGATGATGATGGTGTAGTATTGCTTTCACCTTCTTCTGTCCTATTACCAGTCAACACATTGAGAATATTTTTGCTTAGATCACAGATACTTCTGCATATACAGCACGTGAATCTGAAATTCGAGAAAACCTTATATGACAAAGATTTTAATTTTGAAATGTTAAAAATTTACAAAAATTAGCCTTTTCCACTGCTCTCATGTTAACCGCTTAGCCTTTCTAAACGTTATTTCACCTTCGATATGTGTGTGTTTTCCGAAGAAAAAGAAATCAGATTTAAATTATGAAGATTATTGAGGCTTTCATTATCGGAACTCATCCAATTATGATTAAAGTTTTATTCAACAACGGTCTACGGTCTGGAAATTGAGATTTAAATGATCACATAATGCCATAGAGTAAATAAAGGGATTGTTCATATTAGGGGAGGAACATCAATGCTACATGTGCAAACTTTTGCCACAACAGCAGTGCATTTGGTATCGAATTATTTTGCATTAGTATTTGTGGAAAAATTCTAGAAGTTTCAAAACGCCTAGCAAAATACTATGAAATTGTGAAAATTTGAAACGATTTGTTTCAAAATTTTACAAAAAAATTGTCAGTTACAGATATTTTCTGAATGAAACTTTATCGGCAGTGCTTACTTGCAACATTGCTGTATTCGCCAATTCTCGATGGTTGTGCATCCGCCTGAATTAAGTATGAAAAGTAGTGGAAGGGAAATATTCAGCGAAAACATCGGTTGAAATGAAATATGCAAAGTGTCACGAACCAAATAATCGTACCGATATGGAGAAGTGTTTGCAAAATGATTTCGAGGAACATAGAGATAGAGCACCGAAAGGGAATGGATGGGATTTTATACTTTCCAATTTAACATCAAAATCTCTCATAAATTAGCCAAAATTTTGCGAAAGACTCGATTTCGAATTTCACTTCAGTGAATATGGCACACTAAACCGGAAACTCATTTTGAAATGAAATGAGATAGTCGACTCAGTTGCCTGATTCCATGGCAGGAACCAATAAGCACATCGTCGTAAACAGCTATAAAATGTAAAAATAAAAATACACTAAAATATAAGCCATATCATATTGAAAGATGAAACGAGGCTTTAAAACGTCTTCAACTAAATAATCCATTAATAGAAAAGTAACTAATATTGGACGTGATTACCGGAAGGACGGTCCTTAGGAAAGATGGATAAGTAACTTTCCGCAGCGATCTCACCTTACATCGCAAGGTTGCTGGAGAAGTCTCACAGAATGGATGCAGAAATTCAATCGACATTTATCGCTATAGCTACAAGTGAAATTTACTATTGAAAAAGCTGCCATTTAATTATTCAAATTTGAGTCCTCCCCTCGATTACTAGCCGTAATCAATAAGCGGATATGCAATTTCTTTTCATATAGAAGAATTTTTGTATCAAGAGATCGTCCAACTGTAACAATTGAACCATGCTTTTGTCTTGAAGTGAGGCTGATTTGAATCGCCACAGTTATGTCACTAGTACACATCAGCAAATGAAAGCAGTGTTGGTCCGGAAAACATCATAGAATAGACGCTTAGTCTTTAACACGGCGATTTTTGCAAAATAGTGTACTGGTCAACAGAAGTGTCCGTCCAATGGCATGACATTGACTATTGAAGCAACAAATACAGTTTACACCATTAACTGTCAGCTTGTCCGTTAGTCAGATTATCGACGTTTCTGTCTAGTCATGCCAAGTTCATTTTATATAAATACTATAAGGGAAATTTGATTATAATCAATTTACTGAGACAAAATGATTCATGAAATTACAATGAACTTAGTGTAGCATGAAGAAGCAGTTGATGGAAATTCTAATAAATTGAGATTAGCCGCAACATTGAATTTATGAATTCCATTTACATACACAATAAGAGTGAAAATAAGAAAAGGGAAAAGCAAGGGTGATAATGAATATAAATATCTTTCACAAGGACCAATAAAAACAGCACAACAAAACCAAATGGAAGGAATTACGAGAGTTCGAAGGATGATCGAATGATGACCATGTAAATTATAGATATGCAGGGATCTCTAACAGGACGGCACAGATACAAATTGAGAATAAATTAGAAAAAAAAAAGCTTTTGCAACCCACTAGAATTCTAAGAATGTGTGATACAATAGTGAAAACAATTGAATTGAAAGTTTTATCTATTTCTAGATAACTTTAAAATTTAAGAATCAAACATTCGCACGGTGAAAGTAGATTTAAATTATTATAAAAGTTTATGTTAACACAATGATGCCGCAAATCTCTTTGCGAAAAAAGTTTTGTATTTTCAAATTCTAAAAATTTGAATCGAAGGAACAACTGCAAAAAATGTAGGTTTCAACAATGAAAAACCATTCATAAAGACAGATACATGATAAATACGAGCATTATGATGACAGCATATCATATATTTATCATATCAACACATTTATTACATTTTACTGGAGAGAATCACAACGATACATTTGGTACCATTTCAAAATACTTTTGCAGTTTTTGGAGTTCGAGTTTCGTCATTTCATGAGCACGACGCTCCTACAATTTACCAAAATTCAAAATCAGTTCTTGAAGATAGTAAGGAGAAGTGAATTAATTGCACATGTTAATTAGACGAAGATCGCCAACTTACTTTCGTGAGTTCTTCCTTTAAACGGGAAATCATAGCTTCCAAAGCTTGCTTTTCTCGCAGTGTTTCTTGCAGTTGTGTTTTACTCTTTTCCAATTCAGCGTTCTTTTTTGCAACTATTTTTCCCGCTTCTTCCGCTTTGGATATAATACTACGATCACAAGTATCGCCTTGAGACTGCTAAAATTAAAAAAGAGAATGGATTTTTGAGTTTGAAATGAATTTGATATCCAATTCATATGATTTTCTTCATGTTTTGCAGCGAATAATTTCCAAACTCTCACATCAAAGGAAATGCAAAATCTAATTTTTTTCAATTTTTTTCAAATCAACTTATTTACGCTAAAGTTTCGTAAGCTTGATTCCCTGTTCCTATTGAAAAATCTTGAAGACTAAAACGTTCAGTGGTTCAGTGGTAGGGAAGACAAAAAAGATAC